GGAGGGAGGGAGGGAGGGAGGGAGGGAGGGAGAGACTGAGGCAAGCACACCGTGAGATAGACAGGAAGGCAGGCAGGCCTTTTTTCAGCCGCAGGTCGGGTAAGGTTGGAAGCGTACGTGTCGCGTATATTGTCACCCCGTCTTTACGCTGGACGTGAGCCTACACCTTTCGATGTGCGTGGGCGTAATTGAAGCTGAGGCCCCCCTAAAAAAGTCTCTACGCCTAGTGATTTACGTTACGTGTCTCTCAGTTGTTTCACCGATCTTCTTCTGCCAGGACCTGTCGGGACCGGGGACTACCGCCGTGTTGTGTATTTTTCTCACTTTTACCCCCGTTCTTTTTGTTGCGTCCCGTGTCCCATCCCCGTCCGTCAGGCCGTTACCCCGACGCTCCACCGCGCCTGGTGCGCGGCGCGCCTCAAGCTCCTCGCCAGGCGAAGAGGCCCCGCCACCCCGCCCGCGCCCCGCGAATCCGCCGTCATCGCCGCCTCCGCGGCGGAGCTTGCGGCCCGCGCCGAGGCCAACCTGGCGGGGCTTATGGCGGAGAGGGCGGGGGCGGACGGCGGCGGTCGGGCCGGCGGCGGCGGCGGCGCCGGTGGTCAGCACCGGGAGCTGGAGCTGCGGCTGCAGCGCGACCAGCTCCAGCAGGCCCGGCAGCTGGAGCGGCAGACGCGGCGAATGAAGGAACTGAGGCAGCAGCTGAACCGCGTGAGAGAAGAAGCTGTGGCGGCGGCGGCGGCGGCGGCGGCTCCGTCCGGTGAGGTAGATGCTGCTGCTACCACGGCTACTGCTGCTGCTGCTGCCGCCAGTTGCACTCTCGTCGCGAAATGGCAGGGAAGCACGATTGAGCTGCCCGTGTTGCCGAGGAGCACTACGATAGGGGAGGTGAAGGTGGGTGCATTGGTCTCGGCAGCGAAGGAAGACACGTGTATAGGGGGAGGAAAAACTGTTCCATACAGCACCTCAAGCAACAACGCTACTTGTGTAGTAGAGGCGAGGCACAGTCCGGAATCTCCCGCACTACTGCTGTACTTGTACAACGTAGTAACAAATCTCGGCGGGTGCACTTGCACGACACAAAGGGTACAACATTTTCTCGGTTGCTGGGTCACGCTTGTTTGTTTCACCTACATACCGTATATGACACAAGATAACACACACCCTTGACCGATTTTCGAGGTTCGATTTCTCAACTGGCGAACAGCAGTCACAGCGCCGAAAACGGCGGTTTTGAAACCGTCTCGTCGAGAACTTTCCGAAAATGCATCATTTCGTTTATGCATCATCCCCTTCGTCGTGGAGTAATCGAGCTTTGAACATCGGTCCAGGGGGTGTGGTATCTTGTGTCATATACGGTAACTGTTTCGCGATCCGTGCGCTTACACAGACAACAAGATGTTTCCCCCCTGTTGCCCGAAATGTCGCAAGCACCGTGTGTGAGACGTTTTGATGCCATATTTACGTCGTACAGCAGTAGCCTCCTGGATCCAGCCGATTGACACCCTCCAACGCGAAAACGAGAAGCGCAGCTGACTCTAAATCCGGCCGCCGAACAACTATTCGATCGACAAGATGGCCAAAGATCCTCGCAATGATGCCCACAACCCCCACTTGACACAAAACGATCCAGTTTCCATGACCGAGCATGGAGCCAATGCCACCACCGAATTAACTGCAACTCCTATTACCAGCACTCACACCGATGTTGCCAGTGAGACCGTCCAACGAAGCGCATACGTGTTGCAAAGTATGATACCTACTGCTGTAGACAGCAACCTACGCCCTCGTGAGGTGAGTATCTCGGCTCCAGCGATTGCTTCGGATGCGGTTGACTCTAGGGGTGGCGATCTGGAGAGTCAAGGAAGCGCACCCGAACATTCAAATCGAATAAAAATGTAAATAAAAACGTCCCCAACAATCGGGCTTCCGATCCTGAGCTTGGGTCAGGGTTATGTTGTATTTTTTGCTATAGGCGGACGGCAGATTGTAGAGGAGGAAATCTGCTTTGAGTATCGTACACATGGCCTCAACCTTGCACACGCGCTCTCTTCTCGGGGTTGAACTAGAAGAAATGATGTTTTTGAACGCGGTGTTTGCTTCACCCTTGCATGTGTTGAATGAGCTTGTGTTTCACTTGGTGGTATAGAATCGACAACAGGGAGATCAAGGCTCTTAGACAAGGTGCCGGGAGAGAGAGAGANGGGGGGGGGGGGGGGGGGGGGGGGGGGGGGGGGGGGGGGGGGGGGAGCCGGGGGTGGAGCCGGGGCGGAGGAGGACGATCAGCAGGGGCGGCTGCTGTGGCAGCAGCGACGACGGCGGCGGCGACGACGGCGACAGGGACAGGACGAGCTTGAGGAAGACACCGACGACGACGAAGAAGAGAAGGACGGCAGTGGCGGTGGCGGCGGCGGCGGCGGCGGCTACGTCAACGACATCGCCTACCGCAAGGCGGTCGCCGTCCTGCTCGCGGAAGCGGAAGAGGTGACGGCGGAGATCGAGGCGGACGCGGCGGCGGCGGCAGCCGCGTCCAAGACGGCCCGCTCCCGCGCCGCGGCGACCCTCCTCGCGGGCGCCGTCCTATGGCTCGTGGTGGCGCCCCTCCTCGCCGCGGGACTGTTCGAGACGGCGTTCGTGGTGACCGCGCAGGCGTGGGCGGAGAAGGGACCGCTGGGGGCCCTCCCCTGCTGCAGCCAGCCCCTCCGCTCGCTGGCCCTGGGCATGTTTCTGCTGCACGCCTGGGCCTACGCCTGCCGCGCCAGGGTGCCCAGGTGGATCGCCGCTACGCGGAGGGCTCTCGGCATAGCCCCTAGGGCCGGCGGCGGCGGTCGTGGTGGCGGGGATGGGGTGGAGGGTGGTGATGACGGGGGGTTGGAAGAGAGGCCGCTCTTCTGGTGTGAACGCGTCGAGGTGCGTGAGGGAAGGGGGCCTTAGTCGAAGGATGCCTTTGTGTGACCGCGTGTTTTCTTGTCCAACCGTGCAGGTAGGGTGGACAACACCCGTATGTGCCACCAGCTACATCTAGAGGTGGAGGGGGGGAAGCGGTATATTTGATCGTCTCGTTATTATAGTGTTGGTTGTTGTTGTTGTTTTTTTTTCGCTATTTTGATGCCACTCCAAACACAACGGGTCACCGTTTTGCAGGCGGCGCTACTCCAAGTGGAGGCTGGTTTGGCCCACGGGAGCTGGGCGGAGGTGAGTCATGCTTCCCGCATTTCGAGGTTGGGCCTACCTTTGTCCGGGAAAGAGTCGGGGCCATATTGTAGGGGCGGGGCGGTCAGCGAGTGGTCTATCGAACTCAAACCTTCTTCGCGATAACGGTGTGCTCGCCCTGCACATGATACTTACTTTGATTTTTTTGTTGTGCGTTTTTGTAAAAACTCTTGCTGCTTTTTTGTTCTCTAAGCGAAGTTTGGTGTAGCGGGGCGCTCCAACGGACTGTAGCGGCCGGCCGCCGTTGGTGGTTCCCAACCAGCGTTTGTTTGTGCCATGTGGCGCGGCAGCTTTTCACTGCTGTCCTTCATTTTTTTTTCCATGTATTTTTTTGCGTAGCGGGCGTCCCTCACCGCTGTACCTCTGTGGAGGGAGGATAAGAGGTCGTCAATGAAGGGCTGTGTATTAACCGTGCCTTCCTCGTTCATTTCCCTTGTTGATATGTCATCTCCTCCCCCCCCCTCCCTGTCCCTGGTCCGGTGAAAACCCGGCGTGCTCCGTCCCGGCTTTGTAGGGATGCGAGGTCAATGGTCTAATGACTACGGCATGCACGACTTTGAGTACACCTCCCCCCCTTTGTCCCGCCTCCACAGGTTTCCCCCCACGGGGTGTTGTGGAATTTCGCTGGCGCCGTAGTGGTTCGGCTGTTGGCCATGGTTCTCATTCCTACGGTGGTCTCTCTTGTGGCCGGCGCCTGGATGGGTGCAGATGGCGCGTACGGGCAGTTTGTGCAGGTGCGAGCGAACCTGCATGCCTGGCTAGAGTTGTTGTCGTTATCGTTGATGGCGGTTGTGGGTGGGGTTACGCAAACCGAAGCACGCAACAGTTTCCCACGTTGTGGCTCTGCTGAAGGTAAGACTGGCCAACTTGTACTGTACGCTGTTTTGTTGGTGCCCTGCCCTGTGTGCTGTGACAGGGAGCAAAGCTTGCACGTCATGCCTTTGTACAAAGAGAATCGAGTGCGGTCTACGTGCGTGTTTGATGCATGCATGCCCTTCCTGAGCCTCTTGCGTCCACGCGGTGGTGTTTTTGTGTACAAAGGTCGCCGACTCTGTATTTTGCCTTTTCTGAACGGTGGTGCTAAATGTACCTGGGCGGTGGTCAAGGTAAGGTTAAGGTTGTACAGTTCCTCGAGACCTGAGATTTTTTTTTGAGTTTTTGCTGTCGTGCTGCCGTTGTTTCTGCCAATCTGCAAGAGTTGCCATCGCTCCTCTCGTCGGTGGCAAACACCAAATCACCGCGCCCCGTCCCTCCCCCCTCCCTACAACTCCTTCTCGTTTACCGCTGCGACTGCCGCTACCGTCGCCGTTGCCATCTCCGGAAATAACCGCCCCCTTTCGAATGGCGAAAACCCTTAACAACACACACAGTTGGGACACTTCAGGGCGGCTCTTTCGGCCCTCACGCTCACCAGGGCCTCGGCCTACCTCATCCAGCCCGTCCGGGCTTGGCTAAAGGCTCTACACGACGGCGTTCGAGACGACCGTTACCTGGTGGGGATGAGGCTGCAGGACCACTCGGATTAGGTACTGCAAGCCAAGCCTCCGAGCGTGTTCTGGACATGCATTGACAGGAAATCAGCACACACCCCTCCATAGGAAAATCGTCGTGTGTTGTGTCGTCAAATCTTTTTGGCTTGTTTTGGTAAAAGCACCGCATCGACATTTTTGGTAAGAGGTGACACGTTTTCGCTTACATGCCGAGTGTACCCATGTGGAAGAACTGATTTGTGCGTGTATGGATGTGATGTGGCACGATCTGACGGGACCCCCGGAGGAGGCGTGTCGCAGTATTTGCTGTCGTTGTTTTTTGGAGGCTGCTGCGCAATCACTCTGGGAGGACGAAAGAGCGTAGAAAGTCGATCAAGATGTGCATCATGTCTCCCATGTCGACTGGCTGGCAACGCCAGCTGGTGGTGTGCATACATGCATACGAGAGTAGGGTGACTTATTAAGGCAGACGTAGCACGACAAGTGGCTGCATCTGTTTTCTACCTTCTCGTCTGCCTTCAGCGAGACCAATCTCGCGGGAAATGAGAGCAACCGCCTGCGACTGCTCTCGTAGCGGAGAGAGTTGGCGACAGGAATGCCTTGACACGTTTCATGTGACAAGAATGCATGCTTGGAGTTATCAGTGTAGGAATTAAGATCTAGGAGAAGGCTTTCCCGCATGGCTGCTTGCCGGAGCGCTTGTCGGTCCGGCGGAGTTGGAAGACGTCGTTGTGGTCGCCAGCGTCGTCGTCGCAATCATCAGATACCAGGTCGAAGACCTAGTAGGCACCTCGCCTTCATCGCACTTGTACGCCCTCCCTATTTCCTGTACTGAGCACACCAACAAACCAAACGTGAACGAGGCTGGCGTCTTCTCCTAGATGTTAATTCCTAGACTGATAACTTCAAGCATGCATTCTTGTCACATGAGACGTGTCAAGGCGTTCATTCCTGTCGCCAACTCTCTCCGCTACGAGAGCGGTCGCAGGCGGTTGCTCTCATCTCCCGCGAGATTGGTCTCGCGAGAGGCAGACAAGAAGGTAACAGGGGCAGCAACTTATCGTTCCAATAACTGAAAAGCCCGTATTTCAATTGATGGGGCTTCGAGTTACAACTTGATTTGTTCGTGGTATTTTGGTAAGGTTGTGACGTTCATACTGACAGCGCCCCCCCCCCCCCCCCCCCCCCCCCCCCCCCCCCCCCCCCCC